CTGAAAGTCAGCTAACAGAAGTTGCTAAAGATGCTAAGACCTCAAAAGATTCTGACTATGCCAAGGTTTTGAGTTCTACATTGAGCTCAATTCTGGGTTGGGCAGAGAAGAGGCTACTTGCTTATCATGATACGTTCGATTCTGGAAATATTGATACCATGCAAGGTATTGTATCTTTGGGGGTATCAGCGGCAAAAATTTTAGTTGAAGATGTATCAAATGAGTATCGCCGGAGGAGGAAAGGCGAGGTCGATGTTGCACGCAGCAGGATTGACACTTACATTAGATCATCACTGCGTACTGCTTTTGCTCAGGCAAGTTATACCTGCTCCAACATTCCCTTTTAAGTTATAAGTGATGAGATACATCGTACGTTATACTGGCATCCAATGTTATATTGTGTGTCTTATCTTACTAAACCTCACAATTTCCTCACCTCATGCTATGACCATTACGCCCTAAGGGCTCCCCTGTGCTTTTGAAAATGCCGATTGTGTCTATTTAAGATTTAGTATATCTCTCAGAATTCTTCGGTATCCTTGATTATGGTAAACTTTCTCGCAGTAAAGTTTATTACTTGACTTCTAGCTTTTTTGTATTGAGTAGAAAATGGAAAAGGCAGATTCAAGTAGGAGAGCATCAAAAAGTCGGCCAAATTCTCTTCCTCTCCTAGCCATTCTTGCAAAGGACGTTGGTGATCTTGCAGTAAATGAGAAGGAGGTTTTCAGTCCCATACTGAAAAACTGGCATCCATTTGCTGCAGGAGTGGCTGTAGCTACTCTTCATGCATGTTATGGAAATGAATTGAAACAATTCATCTCGGGTATTGGGGAGTTAACACCAGATGCTGTACAAGTGCTTAGAGCTGCTGATAAGTTGGAGAAAGATCTTGTGCAAATAGCAGTTGGAGATTCAGTGGACAGCGATGATGGTGGCAAGGCAATAATTCGCGAGATGCCACCTTTTGAGGCTGATTCTGCAATTGCCAATCTTGTTAAATCATGGATGAAAACAAGATTAGACAGAATGAAGGAATTGGTGGACCAAAATGTACAACAAGAGGTGTGTGCTATAATCTTCATGTGTGAATGTAGTATGTTGTTATTTTCCCTGGCGAAGGTACTTTATGAAATAAATAGCATGTTGCCATCATGGTCCTGGGACTTATTGGCATACCTAGTTCTATTAGCTTTATCTCCCTCAGTACTCCATTTTATGATTTACTTGCTTATGATATGTCAATAGCTAGCTGTTCTCAAATAGTGATATAACTACTTTGGTGCTTACTATTTTCATTTTTATCGATCTTCACAGTCTAGCAGTAGGTTTAATTAAAATGATAATTGTGATATCCCACATCGGTTGGGGAGGAGAACGAAACACCCTTTATAAGGGTGTGGAAACCTCTCCCTAGCAGACGCATTTTAAAAACCTTGAGGGGAAGCCCGAAAGGGAAAGCCCAAAGAGGATAATATCTGCTAGCGGTGAGCTTGGGCCATTACAAATGGTATCAAAGTCAAACACCATGTGATGTGTCAGCGGTGAGGCTGTTCCCCGAAGGAGAGTAGACACAAGACGGTGTGCCAATAAGGATGCTGGGCCTCGAAGGGAGTGAATTTGGTAGGGGTCCCACATCGATTGGAGAAAGGAACGAGTGCCAATGAGGACGTTGAGCCCTGAAGGGGTGGATTGTGATATCCCACATCAGTTGGGAGGAGAAGAAATACCCTTTATAAGGGTGTGAAAATCTCTCCCCAGCAGACGCATTTTAAAAACCTTGAGAGAAAGTTCGAAAGGGAAAGCCGAAAAAGGACAACATCTGCTAGTTGTGGGCTTGGGCCATTACAATGGAACTGGTTTTCTGATTTGTGAATGCAAATAAAAGAGGCACCAATTTCTTATTTTTAAGATGTCTCTTAATTCTCATATAAGCATTTAGCGATCGACTAGTTGCATCCATCAATGATTGTTTGACATGGCTTGCATCAGTAATTGCTTTCAAGGTTATCGACTGGTTACTAAAAGTGGGTTCCAAGTGCAACAATTTTTAGTCTTTATCCTTTATATTGAATTCTTCTATGGTTCTTGATTTAAAATAAATTCTGTCATATCATTCATATTGACCAAGTGACTTTGATTCATCCCCATGATTGAAGGCTTGGAATCCAAAAGAAAATCAAGGATTTGCACCATCGGCTGTGGAGGTCCTGCGAATAATAGATGAAATATTGGATGCATACTTTCAGCTGCCGATACCTATGCATCCTGTTCTACTTCCTGATTTGGTGGCTGGCCTTGATAGATGTCTTCAGTATTATATAACGAAAGCAAGATCTGGCTGTGGTATCTTCTCCAAACATTAATTTATTGCTGTAAGTTGATATTATCTGTGTTTTAATCTTCCCTATTTTTCTGGATCCACAGGATCGCGAAATACATATATTCCGACTTTGCCAGCATTGACGAGATGTACCATTGGATCAAAGTTCCAAGGCTTTGGGAAGAAGAAAGAAAAATTACCAAATTCTCAGAGGAAAAATGCCCAAGTTGCAACATTAAATGGGGACAATTCGTTTGGGATGCCTCATATCTGTGTTCGTATAAACACATTCCATCAAATTCGTGGTGAGTTGGAGGGTGTGGAGAAAAGAATAATCACTCATCTAAGGAATTCTGAATCTGCTCATGCAGAAGATTTTTCTAATGGTTTGGGGAAGAAGTTTGAACTCTCACCTGCTGCTTGTGTGGAAGGAGTTCAGCAACTTAGTGAGACAGTTGCTTACAAAGTCATTTTCCACGATTTAAGTCATGTTTTATGGGATGGTCTTTATATAGGAGAACCCTCATCTTCTAGGATTGAGCCTTTCCTTAATGAGCTTGAGCGGCACTTGCTCATCATTTCTGACACTGTTCATGAAAGAGTTAGAACAAGGATTGTTACTGACATAATGAAAGCTTCTTTTGATGGATTCTTACTGGTTTTGCTTGCTGGGGGCCCTCTGCGTGCTTTTTCCCGGCACGACTCCCGAATAATTGAGGACGATTTCAAATTACTCAAAGATTTATTCTGGGCAAATGGGGAGGGTATGCCATTAGAGTTGATTGATAAGTTCGCTACCACATTGAGAGGCATCCTTCCTCTTATGCAAACTGACACAGAGAGTATCATAGAGCGTTACAAACGTGTGACAGTAGAGACATATGGATCTTCTGCAAAATCTAGGCTTCCATTACCTCCTACTTCTGGGCAATGGAATCCAACTGAACCAAACACTCTTCTTCGTGTTCTGTGCTACCGGAACGACGACGCTGCTTCGAAGTTCCTCAAGAAAACTTACAATTTGCCTAAGAAGTTGTAATAGCCACATGAATGACAGAAATGGTAACCCTTCTGCAGGAGCCTTATGAAGAACATTGCACAGGGAAAGCATTGTTAGAGAACAGTACCATCTTGTGCTGCTGTTTGGCTTTCTGGAGGGGACTGCTGAAGCTTCGTGAGAAGGTTGGTTGATATTTATTCACAATTCAATTGCTCCATCATCATTTTTAGTGCTGCTTTTTGTCTATAAGGCTATCCTTCCACTAAGCATAATAACCTCAGGAAGGTCCCTGTTAGGTAGGGGCCTTTGGTCATCCATCCCTTAATTCATTTTTATTTTTTCATTTTGTTATCATGTACAATGATGCCATAGGAGATAGAATCAGTGTCGGCTGTGTATTCTATTTGTTATTTACTAACGCTATTCTGGTATTAGTGTGTATTATGTATAGCACCTATTTTTTAGCCATGTAATAGTTTCCACATGTACATCTGATAGCGCACTACAGGTGCAAATGAGAATGTGTTTGAGTCAATTGTTTGCCAAATAAATGCTGAAACCAGTTTTCTCTAGAACTTAATTGATCATCAAAGGGAAGTACGCTATTCTACGGCATTGAATCTGTGAATCTGTAATCGCTCAAGTCCACCGTTCGTAAATATTGTCCTCTTTGGACTTCCTTTCTAGATAAGGAGAGGTTTCCACACCCTTATAAAAAATGGTTCGTTCTCGTTCCCGATCAACGTGGGATCTCACAATCCACCCTCCTTTATTACCCAACGTCCTCGCTGATACATTGTATGGTGTCCTCCCCACTTTAGGGCTCAACGTCCTCGTTGGCACATCGCTCAGTATCTACCCCTTCAGGGCTCAGCACACTGTGTCTGGCTCTGATACCATTTGTAACAGCTCAAGTCCACCCTAGCAAATATTAGCCTTTTTAGACTTTCAGACTTAGCCTCAAGATTTTTAAAACCATCTATTTTTGGATTGGTTTCCACACCTTTGTAAAGAATGTTTCGTTCTCCTCCCCAACCGATGTGGGATCTCACATTCCACCTCCCTTCCAGGCCTAGCGTCTTGTTGACACACGTTTTTCTCTCCAATCGTTGTCATTTCCTTGTCTAATTAATATGAGATATCTCCATCCACCTCGGGGTCCAGTGTTCTCGTTAGCATAGCATGCGTTCCTCTCTCCAATCGACGTGGAACCTCACAAAATCCTATATAGTCAACTACTACTAATCCAAGTTCCTCCATAGAATCCAATCTCTGTAATTATACACAAGCAATTCACAGGCAGTTCCAAAGAGTACAAATAACTGACCACTCACTTAATGAACAACCCATTAATGTAACACATGCATAGGTGATCGTCATGTCCCATGAACTATTCCCTTCGTGCAAGGTTACACTTTGGTTGGTACTTCCCTAAGCTCCCAGACATGTTAATGAGGAGGCCATGAGATGGCCATGCAGTTCATAAGTAATCAGTCCCCAAACATGTTAATGAGGAACCGTACCATGTACTGATGGTGACGGATAACTGCAGCCAGGAAGCAGTCCCGGACATCATCCTCAGCCCCCGGGAAAGCAAGGCCAAGCCAACTAGTTTATGCATATATCATAGACTAAAATATCTAACATATGAATCTCCACCTTCACACATTGAACTAAAGAAAAGAAAAAAAATCATGTTCACGTTGATAGATATATTAATATTGAGTTCGGGTATTTTAAACATTAATGATCGAAAAAACTCCTTCAAGCTCATGGATGCTTTTCTTCATTATCTTGTCTTCATCTTCTTCCTCGCTTTTGGTTTCAGTTCCCAAATCCTAGTTAAGGGAAGGCCACAACACGATCGAGAAGGGTAAAACAATCGACAATCTTACCATTTCCAAGAACCTGGCTTCTTCCTTTGTTGCCATGACCATCGACAGTATGAGCAGCCCCAGAAGCAACTTGAACAGGATCCAGAAGCAACTTTGGGGAATGTTCTTGCTTCCTACGGCCTTAATGAACGAGTAAAGCATGGGAGAATCTATATGGAAATGAAAAAAGAATAATAAAGGTATCGATATGATATGAGTTACTTTCAAACTGATTCTTTCCTTGAGACAACTTCAAAGAAACTGCATTTTATTTAAATCATTATTTAAAAATAATTATTAAATGTTTTAAGACTCGAGGGTTCTTACTATTTTATCGAGATCAATCAAACTAACTCGAACTAACAATAAAAATAATTTACATCTTATTCCTCTAAGCTTGCTATAAATTTCCCTTTAACGTTGATTTTGAAGTTGAAGTACTTGAGGATGATTTTACACTACCATCTTGTTTCGAGAGATCTTAAGATGTTCGTTTGACTAGTCTAGATATTGTTGTCAACTACGTCGTGTTCGTTGACATAGGCAGACAAATTCAAATACTTTTGTTGATCTGTCGTCTCTTTCCACCGTGCCCTACACACTACACAACTAACACTTCTCCTTCCCTTGCTTCGTTTCCACCTCAAGAAACAATTTTCATGAACAAGATTCCGACATGTCGAACAAGCTACAACACGATCATTCTTCTTCATATCATCCAAACAAACAGGACATGCAGTCCCTTCTTCCACAACATTTGCAGAAGAACCTCTTTCTTTTACCTGAAAGAATTGTTGATGAAATATTCTACGTATGCCAATCTCTGCAAGTGATTCTAACATTATAGGTGCAGCAAGCAAACGATTCAACTGGCAAGGTCGAAGCGTTCTCCTCCGAAGACATACGTCGTCAAGCGACAAGCCCAGAGCTCGAATATAGATAAATAGTATGTGTTTGCATGGGGTAATACGATCAGGACAAGTACACGAGGGGGTGGAGGATAGAGACACGATGTAAACATTGCCTGTGGCTCCCAACACAAAGAAGTTAGAATTGGAGCGGTAAAGGAGGTGGAGGTGATGGTGGAGAGCTCGAACAATCCGGTCAGCCACAGCTTGGGAGGGCTTGAACCGATGAAGGTGAAGACGGGGGCCATCCGGTGGGGACGACGAAGTAGAGGCAACGAATTCCATGAGAATTCTGGAAGGAAAAGCAATGAATATGGGTTATAAACAGTTAGTACACGTACATATATACACACAAAAACACATTGCAGGTAGGAAGATTCTTTGTGTAGTTTGAAGGGAAAGAGAGGGATTGTTTTATAAGGCGGAGAATTCAAAAGGCCGCAAGGCACGTAATGGCCAAAGAACCCCTTTTTTCTTCATTCAAGAGTCTTGAAACAGTTCATGATGATCATCAAAGTTCTATACAAACAATGTAAAGATCAAAACTGGAAACTGGGGGGGAACGAAACTCTTACGGGCCGAGGCAAATGAAGCTCGACGATCAAGATTGTATCATATTCATTTCAAATATCAGAAAGGGTGCTTATTTTACGTGTAAAACGAAAAGGCACACATGGGTTTTATATGTTTATGACTAGCCCAGCTTTCGAATTTAAAAGTTTTGAACTTTAATGCTTGTTTTTGAAGGCCTTTTTATCTTCGTATGTCGAAAGATCGATCTTAAATGCAGCCATTAGTGTTTAAACAAGAAAATGCCATGACATACTACAGACAGCAGTAATCAAGATATTACACAGCAACCATCAATTTTCACCTGTCTAGAATCTTCATCCGTAAAAAAAAATCAAACCCCAAGAGTAATATATTGAGGATTGTTGGGAGAGGAGTCACATATCGGCTAGAGCCTTGAAGGTGTAGTCAAAAGTGACTCAAGTGTCAAACAAAAGGTGTACTTTGCTCGGAGGAGGATTGTTGAGGATTGTTGGGAGAGGAGTCCTAGATCGGCTAGAGCCTCGAAGGTGTAGTCAAAAGTGACTCAAGTGTGGAACAAAGGGTGTACTTTGTTCCAAGGAGGATTGTTGGGAGAGGAGTTCCACATCGGCTAGAGCCTCAAAGGTGTAGTCAAAAATGTCGACAAAGGGTGTACTTATTCAAGAGGAGGATTGTTAGGAGAGGAGTCCCACATCAACTAATTAAGGGGTTAAACCCACTGATATGAGGCATTTCGGGGAAACCAAAAGTAAAATCACGAGAGTTTATGCTCAAAATGGACAATATCATATCATTGTAGAGAGTCGTGGTTTCTAACATAATAAACAAGATGTTGACAAAATATCGTAATCACAACTATCAGGGAAACCAATTACTCGAATGTCGGAATCTATTACCCAGATGACAAACTAAGCACGAAAATGAAGTTAAAGCATCCAAGCAAAACGTTAACGTACCTTCAAGCTTAAAACCCTGTCACGCACCGTGTACATGGCTAGTCATCCGAGAGGCATCAGCAATTATACATTGTGGAAGTGCTAATCAAAGATCCAAACACCTGCAGTTGATAATGGAAACATGAACATAGTCCAACCACAAAGTCCATATGAACAGATATTTAAAACGAAAAGATTTCCCTTACCACACAACACCAAACACAATAGTTCATTGAGCGCTTGGAAACCAGAAGGCAGCCATTGTTCATTCTCGATGAACGATGGAGTCCCGAAATTTTCTGACTCGAACACTATGCCAAACACAAGAAGGGAAGGGTAATAGTGAACTGCCATTACCAAATCGACAAGCTATAAGAGGCGAACTAGCTGCTAAAAGATGGTGGCTGAATCTGACCAACAAGTCCATTAGCAAAACGCCACATTCAGCCTCTCGAACAGCCAAACGTAGCCGCGATTCGTGCCTCGACTATGTTCAGCTACAGAACCTCTGGTTTCATGAGAAATCTTGTAATCTACTGCAGGGGGAAGGAAACTTTATAATCCTACATAGTGACATGCCAGGGAAAAAAACTATAGAACATTCGTCTCTAAAATGGAATTGAGAGGTAAAAGTAAAAATAACTAATGATTATATTGATAGAAAATTCACTAAAAATGTCACTTAGAATATCCTCAGTTCCAAAAAGGTGAGAGATCAAGCAAGATGGATATGAATACCCATAGCCCAGTGATGCTCGATATCTATAACGGCACATTCCCCGACGCCCCGAAAAGATGACCTATGCTGTGGACATGCCTTCAACCAAGAACTAGTGCTCAAGACTATACAAAACCTTTAACAAATTGGTAAGAATACCCAAACCCCAGAGACATGAAAGATCTAAATTTAGCTCATACTTGAATAACATGAATGAAAGCCAGAGCATAGGTGCCTGTATCTGATGCAGTACGGTGGCGACGTTAATGAACAGTTTAGCTACATCGACTCCATTTTCCCCAGTCAACTGTGTCCTAAAAATTCGTATCCGCCCAGAGAAGAGCACCGTCTGTTAAAAATTGCAGGCTCTAAGTGGTATCGGCTTAGGGGTGTTTCATGAAATGGTTCGGCCATAGCAAATAGATGCAATATAAAGGTTCTTTGCCCATTTCTCCTGCATAAACACCAGAAACCACGACTTTTTCAGAAATTTAACAGCGCTAAACAAAGATATAAAGTAACGTACGTTTGCACGACTAACCTTGACATGTGTACTAGGAAAGGCAGATGTTCGGAGTGTTTCTTGAGTTTCATCAGCGGGCTTTCGCCTTGGCACACTCAGAACAAACGCAGCCTGGTCCAAAGTTGCTGCAGTTGACGTGATGCGGTAACCATTATCCCACCTGCGATGAATACCTTCGCTAGGATACAGGAAATCTAGTTCCACAACCTGTTAAGTGATCGAAAGTCAAAATCGAAGTCAAATTGGTTTTAATCGAACAAGTTTAGTAAAACCAATTAGCCTAATACCTGGTCCGAAAATCCTGCACCACGTGACATGACAATAGCCCATCTACTCCCGGCCGTAGCCATGGCAGTAACGTAAAATCCCTCCCTCCATTTCTTAAGTATCCACTTGAAGGGAAATGAATCGCTGACTTTATAGGATTGCTGGAGGTACTGAGTCCCTGCATTAAATTATAAGTATAAGAAGCAACACATACACACACAATACGCCCGCGTTTTCTTCTAGCCATTTGGAATATGTTGAATTAAGACGAACCTTTGGACATCACTACCAATGAGCTCCCATTATTAGCTCCTGCTATTGCACTGATGTAATAGTTTTTCTCCCACTGTTCCACGATCCACTCCTAAATGAACAAACGAACATTATTAGCCATTTAACTAACTAGAGCACGAACTCGGTTGATACGAAATAAAGTAGTCTTCAGAATCCATGGACCAAAATGAAAAACAAACATGCAGAGTATCCAAGATAATTGTTATCTTCATGGGAAAAAGCAACCTTGTGAAGAAAGCATGGTGAGAGTTCATAAACTTGAGCAGTAAATCCAGTTCCAGCGTCCATAATAAGGGCCCAAAGGTTCGAACACGAAGCAACACAACTAATAAATAAACCATCTTCATTCCCTTTCTCGATGTGCTGAGAGAGCCTCATATCAGCAACGTTATAGTGATATCTACATCGGGCCAAGTTAATTAGTAACCTTATGATGAAATTGAGCTTCATCTTTAGAGTCGAGTGCAAACCTTTGTTTCATTGGTCTACAGGCGTTATAAACACTAATCCATTGAGTTGCAGGCATCCCCATTCTAACCTTCTTCTTTGGTTGTTCATCGTCGTCGTCCTCCATGGATAGCCTTCCTCTCTTATGCCCAACCTGAAATATAAGCTTCACATAACAAATGATGTTTTAGATAATACTCAAGTGCAGAGTTTACAATCAAAAAATGCAATGGGCAGTCAACAGAAAGATGAAATCGAGGGAACAGTGAGTACTTTCTGAGCACCATCTGTGTTTATTGGATGGATAGCGGGATTCGGACCGACAATCCCATCAAAGAGGGAGATATATCTTGCATAGTTTGGCTCTTCGTCAAATTTCAAATTTACAACATACTCGACAAACTGTCTAAAAGGCTGAGGGCAAAAACAGCACAATGTTTCGGAGGACGTAGCCATCTTCTTCTTGGACACAAGGAATCCTTTATTTTCACCCTGGAGAAAATATATACTCCGAGTTCAGAACAAATCTATCATATGTTTACACAAAGAGTTAATATTCATCAGCCCCGAACAAAACGTAAACCTGATATCCTTGCCAAGGCAGCCGACCACGAATAAGAAAAACAAGAGTGTAAGCAAGCGATTCCAAGTCATCTCTTCGACTAGCAGTTCTGCCAAGATGTGCATGCACACTAGCATACCGAACTGTTCCTCTGAATATAGAAGTGAGATGGAGTTGTTTAAGAGCCTAAATGTTATATGAGTATACAAATATCTCATCATATATACAGCTTTCGTACCGGAAAATGTCAGGCCGTTGATCATACTCAACATGTTGACCAGTCGAACTATCTCGCCACTTGGTTGCTATAAGGTGGACCAATGAGACGGTAAGGTGTATGTCATATGCAAACAAAATAACATTCCACGAGATGGAAACGGTTAATAAAAAAAAAAAAAGAGATACCTAAACCAAGATCTACAAGAAACAACTTTTTCTCTTCTGGGGTTCCTGGAGGACCGAGCAGAAAGTTTTCAGGCTTCACGTCACCATGCACATACCTGTCAGAGACGTTGACAGAGTCATTCAAGAGCAGAAAAATAATTACAAGAACACTGCGAAATCATTCATAAGCCAGTGAATGAGCTAACTATGTAACAAATATCTAGCTTAGCCGTAGTAGATGCAAGAATCATTCATCATAGCTGGCATAATGTTTTGTGCAAAGGTATCTAGAACCGACACAGACTTAACACGTTCCTTTACAGCTACAGCATCCTAGGACCCTATGCAACATTACTGTCCCTCCATATCAAACAAGGAAATACAGAATAAAGGCCTCACCCTCTAGAATGCATCTTCTCTAATATAGAGATCGCCTCAATTGCGATACACGCTACCATTTCTATAGACATCCTGAGATTCGAAGAAAAATTTAGACATATTACCATGCGGTAAATCAGCACGAATAAATTACAAATAGTGGAAAAACCTAAAACAAATGATAAAATTATAATAAACTTACGTGTGAGCATTGTTATTCCAGACATCCCAAAGACTAGGTCCAAGCATGTCCATAACCTATATCCAAAGTATCGCTATTCACAACGAAATATAAATAATAGTACAAATCTTTGGTTAATCCGAGCATAGCTCAGTAGATAAAGACACCGATGGTAATCAATCTACCAACCCCCCTAATTGTTGAACTCAGAAGAAAATTATGCAAAACTCAGATGTGCTTTAAGGCTTTAACTGAAAGTAAATAACGTAAAGGAAACAAAGCGTACCATGACAAAATAGTCACCTTGCTGACCCTTGTAATGAACTCGTGGCACACCATGGCTACCACCTAAAACGCTGAAGAACCAAGAGAAAAGTGATTGGAACACGTAATATAAATAACCCTTTGACTAAAATATAATCCACAAGGACTGAGAAGAGCATTACTTGTAAACCTGCCACTCGTAAGGAGGTCCATAGTTGCACCCTTTACTACTTCTATGCTCAAATTTTAAGGCCACCTGTAATATGGATAGATCATATGAAATGTAGGTAACGTAAACAAAGAATTCGGTAAGCGTTACAAATAGGGATACCATACCTCCACAGCTCCCGGGCCAGATCTTTCATTCAAGCTCGTGGGACCCATCCGTCGACCCACAAACACCTGTCCAAAACCTCCTTTTCCCAGTTTTCTTTCAACTTTATATAACGGAGAACCACCAACCTGAACCTGTTGCATTAAGAGGATAAAACATTTGAAAAAGGAAAATGAAGCAAAAAAACGCCATCGTATCACTTTTATATCATTGCAGAAAAACATCTGAATGAAGATAATCATGTGCTAAATGCAGTAGTAAGACTCATCAACAAGATAAGTTCCATGCAAAGAATTTGTCTTTGACACTCGAATACTTGCAGCTCTGCGAATTTTAAGTAGAAACTAGAACACTACCTGAAAACGATACCAAATATAGAGAAACTGTAACCGATCAAGCCCACCACTAGCAGATATTGTCCTCTTTGGGCTTTCCCTTTTGGGATTTCCCTCAAGATTTTAAAACTTGTCTGCTAGGGAAAGGTTTCCACACCCTTGTGGGATCTCACAATCCACCCCCTTGAGAGCCAGCGTCCTCGCTGGCACACCACCTAGTGTCTAGCTCTAATACCATCTGTAACAGCTCAAGCCAACCGCTAGTAGATATAGTTCTCTTTGGGCTTTCACTTCTAGGCTTCCCCTCAAGCTTTAAAACACGTATGCTAGGGAGAGGTTTCCACACCCTTATAAGAAATGTTTCGTTTCCCTCTCCAACCGACGTGGGATCTCACAAAAACTCTCGAAATGATTACCAACAATTGTTTAACTCCAGATAGATGAAAGCGTATCAGACCATAACTATGCTCCAATCTCAAACAAAGCAATCTCTAAAAGTTGCATAAGTTCATAAGTAACAAGACCAGCAGAAAAAACTAGGGGTTGCCCATTAATAACTCATACATTTCCAGAGAAATCAAAGAAATCAGCACGTAAGAACAGGGTGATAGATTTAAAGCCCCAATTTTCTTCACCAATCGCTCCCTGTCCTTTCTCAACCATCAACACAAAGCCATCTATTCAAGAAACATCAGAAAACAAACACATATCCAAGAATTAAAGAGCTTCACCTTCTCCGGAAGAGGAGTAGCCGTCCCTTCATCCTCGGCTACAGGACCCTTATCGCCGTTCCGTCCACCGGTATCAAACTCATCCATGGCTCTGCCACCAAGCTTCAGTACGTCTTTATCCTTCCCAACTTCGTGTTTTCTCTCACGCAGCCTCGTTTCAATACCGATTCCAGGGTTCACTCTATCCCTCTCACCATCGGCAAGGATCGCGTCTCTCCCCTGCTTAACACTCTTCCCTCCGCCGCGTTTAGCCGGCTGCCCTCGGTGGCGTATTCTCACAGTTGACTCAATGGGTGTTTGGCGCGCAATCGGGACAGGGTCTTCGTATAGCCGGCTCCGGCGTGCTTTGCTATGGAGCTCAGGCATCGTACAGCCAGTGGTTCATGAAGGACGGCAAACTTCGCCGGAGAAGAAGACTCAGGAATCATCTACGGCCATGGGAAACCCCAAATTTGAAACTGAGAACAGAAAATGTAGGAAAAATCAGAGTCCAGAACCGACCGACAGAGAAGACGAAGATCTGTGGAGCGCTGAACGGAAGAGTACAGTGATCTTCAAGTACAGAGCAAAACAGGGAGAGAGAAACAGAGCTTAGCCTTCGTTTATGCAGCCCTTTTCTTTTTTTTATTTATTATTATTTAAACGAATTACAAATTTATTCCCTAAATTTTAAATTTAATTGTTATTTAATTTTTTTGAATTCGCGTATTTTTTAAAATAAAAGTAAAATTCATATATACATATTATTTTATTTTTAAAATTTTTAAAATTTATCAAACCATTTATTAGTCACAAAATTATTAATTAAATTAATATAAATGTGAGGACTAAATTGGAATTTTAATTATTATTATTATTATTTAATTAAATAGAGATGAGACAATATATTAATTAATCCATATTTGTTAGTTTTTTTAGTATAATTTTATTATTTAATTTTTTTATTAGTTACCTGTCTAGTTATTTATAGACAGATTTATTGTATTGTTTCATTATTTTTACCAAAATTATAATGTATATATATATAATGAGAATATTAAATTATGTGTATTAGTCGACTTTCCTTCTGTACCAAATTTTATTTTATAAAATTAGCGATTTTATTCTTTTACAATTTTATTTTAAATATAAGAAGGTATAGTAAAATAAAAATAATAATGTTTCCATGAACGTACAAAAGCTTATTAAATACTCAAACACAGAAAGTCAATGTATTAGTCAAATAAGAATAAAATGGAATGACGATCTTTATTCACTCCAACGTTGTTATTTAGTCCAACAACATTAACGTCGGAATGTTTATTTTAATGAAATTGTGTCTTATTTATTAAAAATTAATAAAAATAAGTATTTCGTATTTTTTTTAATTATTATTAAAGTTGTATTATTTCGGAATATTTAATAAATGGGAGGCGACATTAATTATAATTTAAAAAATAGAGGTATAAATGAAAATTTTATAAGGAGACATGATTCCGTTTTAATTCAAATTACACGAAAATGGGCCTGGGCCTGCAGAAGTCCAGCCCATTTATGCAGGCACAGGTTTGTTTGGCCCATAACAGTTTTCCCCTTCAAAAGTCAATAGTCCTTTTCTATTATTATTATTAATTCTTCTATCTATTATCGACTTTAAGATAATAATTGATATTTTATCCAGATAAAAAAAAAAAAAAAATGAAAGATCAAACTATTTATCTTAAGATTCGCCCCAAACAGAGCTAAAAATCCTTATCTAAACGAGAAATGAGAGATTATTCCCAGACGAGTTTGTATTTCCCGTCCCTTTCTTTATTATAAATTATAATAGAGTAGTTTTTTTGTTTATATTCGTTGCCTTTCATCTTTAATAAAGAATTTCGAAAAAAATTGAAAATGAAATGGAATTCTATATTTTTTAAAAGATATTTAATTATGGGAGAAAAAGTTAATATAATCATGAATATTATTTAATACTAATAAATTAATCATAATAACAATAATTATATATTTATACATTACTATTAATTAAAGTAATAATGATAATTAAATTTCATAATTTAATTAATAAAAAAAAAGTAATTAAATATGTATAGTCATATCTATATTGAATAGTTAAAGGAAACATATCAGTAAATGTTTAATAAGGCGAAATAGTATAATTTATTTTAATTTATATATTTTCGTTATTTTTTTAATTTAAATTTTGACTAGAAAATCGGGTGGCTTCCTAACAAAAAAAATAAAAAAATAAAAAAAAATACAAATTTAAAATTGAAAAATAAGTCTTTGGACCCAACATTTGTCATAAATGCATGCACCGATAGTGGCAGGGATGACAAACAAAAACTCCAAAAATTAATTATTTATTTATTAATTAATAAGTTTGAAATGGATTTATTCGTAATAATGACCATGAGGATTGTCCTCAACAGTAATTTCACAAGCATGTTATTTAATTTCTTTTTTTTTTTCACGTTGTTTCTTGTTTTTTATTTTTTATTTTTAAAACAAGATATTATTTTTAGATAAACTACAGAATATTTTTATTAATTTTACATATTAATATTGTAACGGTAGAAACTTAGCTTAATTCACACGCCCTGTTAAGCATTTCACATCGATTCTCCCACTTTGCGAATATTTTAATGATTTATTTTTAAAAAAAATAAATAAATAATTGATTTTTTTTAGTTTTTAATTTTTTTTTAATTGCTCTGTTTATAAAAGTCAAAGATATGGAGAAAACAGACCAAAAGCTTTTCTCTCTCTGTTTCTCTCTCATGGAAGAACAGTTGCTGCCGCCGTCGAAGTGGGAAGGAGAAGTCTCCGCCGAGACAACCGCCGGGAAGCCTCACGAAATCTGGCCGTTGCTGGCCGATGAGTTCTGCAGTCTCCACAAATGGCTTCCGATAGACACGTGTCACTACGTGGAAGGTGTACAGGGGCAGCCGGGTCTGATCCGGTACTGCGCCACCACCGACACGACGTCGTCATCAGAACCATCGATTAAGTGGGCCCACGAGAGGCTGAAATTGATTGATCCGACCGAACATATTCTCTCCTACGAGATTCTGGACAACAACGTCGGATTCAAGTCGTACGTGGCCACCATGAAGCTGCTGCCTGGCGGCGGGGACGACGGCGGCGGGTGCAAGATGGTGTGGTCGTTTGAGGCGGATCCGATTGAAGGGTGGCCGTTGGAGGAGTTCGTGAAGTATCTTGAATTTTCTCTGCAGCAAATGGTGAACAAAATGGCAGAGTATTTGCAGAAAAGTCCCTGAACTTTCTTCAAATTATTAAATGAAATTATGCTCTTTGATTTCTCAGTTGCAGGTCTCAAATTAAATCATCATATTTCTTGTTAACAAATAAATAAATATTCCTTCTAAATAATTATTCTTTTTTTTTTTCATGGTTGAAATTTGGAATAATCATGTGCAAGAAAATTCAATATTTGGGCTTTTAAAGGTCAGAAGGTTTCTTTTTTTATATTGGTACATTCAATAATTGATATTCGATTATGATTTTTTTTTTAATTAAAAAAAATCAGATTATTTGGAGAATATTATGTAAAGTTGACTTTGATATGATTTAAATTAAAGACAATTTTAAAAATATCTATAAATTTTGAACGCTCGTAAAAGGGTAACATTTTAAAATTTTAAGGACTAAATTTTAATCTTTCGGTCGAGAATGAAGGACTAATTAGGACCTAATTATTATGAAAAGTAAAGTTAGTCTATAAAATATACAAATTTAGTAGCCACTAGAGCAAACACAATAAACTAAGGCCCTGAAAGTGTTCTTCATTTTGCAAGAGTTTTGTTGGCATTTAGCCTTTTCATCAACCAATTGATTATATCCTGACCAATCTCCTCTCGCTCAGGCTCAAACAGCAAGTCGTGCAAGAACCCTTCATATAGCTTTATGTCTTTGAACTCAGAAGCTGCCTCATTGTACAGATCCTGGGATGCTACAGGATCCGTGACTTTGTCGGCTGTCCCGTGGAGGACGAAGAACGGGACGGTGACTGACTGGAGGTTTTGCATCAGGTATGATGAAATCCGCAGGATCTCGTGGCCTGTTCGGACTCTGATCGGTCCGGTGTATACTAATGGATCGGAGTATTTGGCCAAGAGTGCTGCAGGGTCCCTTGAAACTGGAATGCCTCTCTTGTTTGCACCTTTGAACTGAAACTTTGGAATCACTATGGAAAAGATTGGAGCTAGAGCCTACATTATGGAAGTAGTTCAACATGAGTGTGTGTATAACCCAGAATTGCACAGTGTTCTCGACGGCCAATCGACCGAAATCGGGATTATACTTACCTTGACAATAGGATGGGCGGGTTTAACTCGCAACGCAGGCGAAGTCAGTATAATTCCCTTCACCATTTTCTCTGTGTGAGGGCTTAAAGCGGCCTGCATAAAATTGTAGTTAAGGAGACTGAAAATGGATATCACTTTGCCAGATGGGTTAGGGATGTTTTTTGAATTAACTGACCTTCAAAACAACGGCCCCTCCCGTGGAGTGTCCAAAGAGGAAGCATGGTGTTTCAGGGTTCTCAGATTTAATCTTTTCTAAGAATGCCCCCTGCAGAATGGAAAAACAATGAACATTCCCTTCCAAATCTAAACTAATTCCTTGAACAAATAATTCAATCAATCCCATAAGGAAAGTGTCATCATAACGTGCATGAAAACAAAAACACATGCATAGTGTAGTTGTATTTATTTTCTTAGACTTAGGTTAGAATATGTTTTTACTTTTAATACTTATTTAGTATTTCGTTGTGTTGTTTTAAAGATGTTTTCGAACACGCAAGTCCATAACAGTGTTTTAAGATGAAATTTAAACGCTTATGTCCGTACAAAATGATTACGTTATGATGATGGTTGCGACTTTAGTTAAGTAGAAATTTAGTGTCAATCCTAATGTGCATGAAAACAAAAAGATGGAAACATAGTTGCACTATAACAGGATGACAAGCAAGCATTTGAAATCAAAGGAATAAATTGAGCTTCTAGAAATAAAGATCAAACAAAACTTGACATCGGATTAAGTTATTGTGCAGATCAATGAAAATTGAACTTACAGTATCAGCAACAACATGGTCAAGAGATGGAACAAATCCATGTAATCCATCACTTCCACCATGGCCTACAATAAGAACACAAGACAACAGCCATGAACACAATTAAAATTTTCACCAAAATGACTAATTTCCAATATCATCCAAACTAAAACAAAAATCATCAACATTCATGTGGAAAAAAACAGAGTATTGAAAACTTTTGTTAGATTGTCAGAGAAACCAAAGAACAACCATGTTGCGGTGTCTAGCCATGCACAAACTTGTTGTCAATATAGTCAGGAATATATAAACAACAAAGCAATTGATATCCTATTAACACTTAGTTCAAGCTTTTGTGTTCATAGGTGAGTCAACATGATATTAAAACAGAAGGGCTTTGATTTGAACTTCTATAGCGTCGTTTTCTCATCAATTAATATTAATTTCTACTTGTTAAACCTCCGGTAATGTCATTTCCTTCCCAATAACTACAACCCATCAATTAAAAGAATTGATGATATAGAGAAGAAAACTATGAAGAAATCTAAACAGA